AGAAAAGATTGTCCATTATCAGACTTAAGACAAGAAGCTGGGCTAGCTTCTCTCCCAGAGCTGCCAGTTCTGACCTAATCCTGCCACCAGATAGGAGAGGGTAGGTCGCTGCTAGGATTCTTCAACGGTCATAGAAAAGGAGATGCGCGAATTCCAGCTGTTACGAGTAAGTATAAGTCCTGACTGAATCCTCGGTTATACCGGCTCCATACTCCAAAGAGGCCATCCTTGCAGGACAGATTGTGTCTGGAAAGGAGATTCAGTTTCAGTTCAGTCATGAAGGCGATTTAGTGGCTTTGGTCTAAAATGAATGGGATGGAATAACTGTAACCCAAGGAGACCTTTCTGGAGGGTAGAAGCCCTAGCTTTTTTCCCTGAAGATGATAGCCTTAGACATTTGAGTAGGCATAGCGCCCTAAGCACAGCACCGTTCCTCCAAGAGCTTGAGCTTTCCGGAACCTTCAACTGCAGTGAGCAGTTCCATCAATTTCTGAGTGAGTAACGAAGGCGCTCTGCCCCCCACGAGTGGCAGTTCTGACGCCCTTCTAATTGTCCCGCCCACCAAAACGGGAATATTTTTTGTTACGAAATCAGTTTTATCACAGTGTTTTTTTTTCGTTTTTTTTCACTTAGATGAGTTTGAGCGGATGACGGAACCAGAGGGGATAGGGATATCGAATTGCTGACATAAAACGAGCAGGTCTGGAGAAGTCGTACAGTGAGGCTGCCAGGGGTCCTTACTGAGGGTGCCCTTCTCTTTTTTTTTGCTTTTTTTCTTTCCCGCAGAGATATTTAGCAACTACAGCTCATAATTGAACGCCATTATTCACAATATGCAATGGCGCCGTTTGTCTTTAGAGTAGATCTCTACACTCAAAGCATTTGCAAGATGTCCAGGTAGCCTTTGAGCTCAACATTGAGCGCCTAACATTTGAAATGAGCCTGGCTCTTTGTTAATAAATGACATGCATAGTGAATCATCTCAAGGAAGTTTTTGCAGACACATACTCAAATGCGAAAACTCCCCAGAAGGCCATTGTTACTGGCCAGATCGCCTTCCTTCTACGGTAACCGAATATCGATCTAAAAGGCGAGACGATTGTAAGAGCCACTATGGCGCCGACTTTCTTGTAGGAGGTGCGCTCACAGCTGGAATTTGGCAGGCTTTTGAGGCTTGGTAGAAAAATGCAGATCAGTCAGTGCAGTAATTTATTCTTCCCTTCCTTACCATGCAGTTCAAGGCAGGATAACAAGGTACGATCATAAGGATAAGGCAGTGATACGTTAATTTGTTCTCTGAGAAAACGTGCAAAATGGAAACGAGGCTACTTCTTTGCTCTTCACGCGCTGATATGATAGACGTCACTGTTATTGTTGACTAGTTACTTGTTCATAAATTTGGAATTTAAGCAAATCAAAATAAGTCCCTCCCTTCTTTCCACTCAGCCAGTCCTCACAGTCATCATCTGGCACTGATTTACTGCTCGTTCAAGGAGGGAGTTGTCCTTCTTCGGGCTCCTTGCTTCTGTGTTTTTCTGATGACGCGGTTTTCTGGGATGGTGACGCTATATCTTCCCTGATTCCAGTATCTGACGGCTAATTCTAGACCTCAGGTCGAGCACGTGCTGCTGCGAGAGTCTCTTAGGTCGCTTTCTGGGTACCCTGAGGTGAGAACCTTTTTTTCGTGTACATGCAAGGCTCACGACCATACCATTTCCGCAGCTAGGATGACTTCTGCTCCAAATTAAGTTCGAGTTTCCCTGAAAGCTTCATTCCGTAGAGCGAGCAGCTTAGGTTTTTAATTCGACGCTGACACTGACACTGACCTTGACGATGCGTCTCTTCGCAGGGAATTATATCCTTGTTTTGAGAAAAGCCTAAAAACAGTCCCTTGAAGAATAGAAAAATTTTTGCTAGGAGAAAAATGATATCGGCTTTTATGAAATGCATTTTTCTACGCTGCATTCAGGTACACTCGTGTGGAAAAGGAAGCTCTCTTTAGCGTGTCCTTTCTTTGACTACTATGAACTGCAAAACATCGCGTACGAGTTTTCTCGAACAAATTCGACGATACTCTGGCTCTTGCACGCTAGCTATGACCTTGTCTCCTCGCTAGGAATGCTCAGCGAACAGCTTGCTCTGATTGCAATAACCGCAGTAGAAGTAGTTCTGACCGTCCAAAAATGTTGTTTGCGCAATAATGTTGGTCAGAAAGAAAACTGTTGTGGGTTGTGTTCTCAGGGAAAATCTCAAAATTCTCACATTTTTTCCCATGACAGTCGCTGAAAGCGTACTTGCTCACCATGGTGCTTTTTGCTGACGAATTGGAGCTGAATTTCGGTGGATACAGAATTTATGAGTATAGTTCAGAGACCATGAGGGTCAACCATGAGGGGTACATCGAATTGACTCAATTTTCAGGGTGCAGTTCCGCTTGGTGGGGGCACCAGATGTTCCTCGGCGAAGCTTGTACGGATCACCTTGTGAACACCTGTAAATTTCTGTAACCAAAATGGCCAGCTTGTTTTATTCACAGCTTCACAAGTGTTTACATGTTCAACCAAACCGAGATTCGTTAGCTAAGATGAACTAGCGAAAGTGCGAAATGCCCCTTCTAAGCCAAACAGCGCCATTTCCGGTTCCAGAATGGAAATCTGTAAGGTGTTGCCTATTGCGAACGTCCTGCTGATAGTGGTTCGCTATTCCCTACTTGTAAGTCTTTCTCAACCCTCCTTAGGGGGATGTTGCAAGGCAGACGTGTTGATTGTTGCTGAGATTTTCCACATAAGAAGATTAGCAGTGGCAGAAGTTGCCTTTCATCTGAAAAGACGACTGTCAAGGCAGAAATCTTTCGATTACAAGGATGATATTACAATCCGACGATAATCATCCCGCCTATCCTCGAAAAAAAGCTCAAATATCCCTTGCACAAATCGATTTTTGAAAAAGTCTTAGCGAAAAGCTGTACACATACAAAGCAACTTCCCCCCCCCCCTTTGACATTTATCCGAGAGGGACGTATCCGGCACAGAAATGTGTCATCACAGCTTGTCGCATTGCATGTAGCATCATTTCCTCAGGGTTTCATCCCCATTTGTGTCCCTTTAATAAGCGCATCCGGCGACCGCGTACCTAATTGACGTCAGTTTCAATCAGTGTACGCGTCAAGTCGAATAAGTAGCTACAATACGCCAGATGACGGGGTCAAACCTTTCAGGAAGTGGGACACGTGTATGCAGCTGCTACCTCAAAGCTCTCCTGGCTCCGGGGAAAGTCCATATATAGATTTTGCCCAGTAGTACCCATAGCCGTGCTAGTGTATCTGTCTGTCGAGGACTCTTGCCTGAAATTGAATCCGCTGTGGCCAAATAGAGCAGATTCCCAGCGATATCCGCCATACATGCCGGCTTAGGCTGTCAGCTGGTGCGATTCCATGCCATGACATCGGGATCAGCCAAAAATCCCATGTTCGGATTACCGCATCCTTAGAAAATAGGCTACATCAACACTGTGCGACGATTAAGAGGGGGGTCATGCTGGGCTCCTTGAGTGGATCACTTCCCCAATTGGGTAGATTACTTAATTACCTAGGTTATAAAAGATTGTTTTATTAGGAGGGACAGTAGACGGTAGTTCATTGTCGGACAACATCTCAGCAGGTGGATTGGGCAATGTTTCTGCGCTAGTGGGCACGAATAGCAATTAGAAATCGAAGGATTGTCGTCGACTGCCCTTCCTACCACAGAACGACGACGACGACAGAACCAGCCAGCCGCGGAAAACATGTGTAGATAAATAAAGGAAGAAGGAAAGGGACGTGTTGGGGGAGCCACAGCGCTGCCACCAAGCCATTTCCGATTATTCCCACTGGGAAGTCCCCAAGGATGGCTGGATTTATTCCAGAGGAAGTTCCCAGTAGTGCAGTCGGCAATGAGGAGGAGGTCAGCGGCCGCTAATGAGCCCGACATTCCGATCAACGAACATCAAAATATTACAATATTTCGAATTTTGTTTTGTGAGTATATGCGCGGATTGCTGTGTCGTCGTCGTCGTCGTCGTCGTTGCTCCAGCCGCCTGCGCCCCCCGTTCATCAGCCGCCGCTCCCGCCCACTCGCCCCGTCGTCGTCGTCGCCATTACCGTAACCCACCACGACGGCCAGCCAGCACATGTGGTTGGCCCCGCCCTCTCATCGGCTGTGCGTCGCCTTCCGTCCGTCAACCCATCATCTATCGCGCTAACTCATCTCACAAGGCTATCGACACCTACCTGTACTGAGCCAGTACTCAAAGTCTTTCTTGTGCACTCGAAGCAGTACGTCATCATTGTGAGCGCTACGAATTCTTGCCCATTCAAGCTGGCGACCATCTGTATGCGGGGTGGTTTCGAGCGATTTGAGCTCTCGGGACCAACCGAAGAGGAATGTCCATTGGATTACTGGTCGAAAAACGCCACTATTGAGAGCCCTGACAGTAAGTTCTCACCCTTACCTTCCCTCATTTGCTATTATTTCTTGTAAAAATCTTATTTGTATTTTTCAACTGTCGAGTTTGTCCGTCATCTCAGAGTCTCCAGGTCTCGTCCAGGCCATTCTGGAAACTTATGTCAAGTCTAGCGCTGCATTGATTACTCTAATACCATACTAGATGGAGATAAGCTGCCATCTCAGCTGAAACCTCGTCGGCTTACCCTTTGGCTTTCGAGCTACAGCTCAGCAAAAGATCTCTTTCACAAGCTTCATCTCCTCTATTTTCCCCCTTGTTTCTTTCTCCTGGTTCTCTCCGCTCTTACTCAACTATTGAATCGATGAAGAGCATATTTGAAATGCAAAAAGAGCACATTCACATGGTAATACTATCGATTTGCCAACTTTTTTCAAATAGTTTCTTCTATTGTTTCAAAAATGGCTTGTCGTCACTCTGCAGCAGCAGCCATCTTTTTGGACCATTTGGCTTGGGAGGGATAAGCCTGAAGCTACCGAAATGGACCAGATTATTCCTTGATGCCATCCAGCCCAGCCGTCAGTCAGTCAGTCCGTCGGTTGGTGGTCGGCGTTTTTGTCGTTGGCCAGCTTTTAGCGGGTGCTCTGGTGGTTCTTGAATGAGCCGCTTTCACTAGGTCATTCAAGAGGTCGTTAACTTGGCCGCTAATCATCATTCTTGGCTGACTATCATTAGCGCTCTTCGAAACCCCTGCTTAAACCTCCCTCGTCACCCGCTATAACTATTTAAGAGTCGAAGACTAGCACCTGCCGCTTAGATTCTTTATGCTAGTGCTGCGCCTGTCCCCCTTCCCTATTCTAGCACTCGAAATAAGTACTTTGAGAAACCTTGGAAAAAAAGCTACTCGAAAGAGAAACGAGCCCAACAAACGTCATTTTTGGTAACGGCACTAAAACAACTGTGACTTGTCCCTCGCACAGCTTTCCCCAGGAGAAATCACCGTCGTCCGAGTAGCCTGAAGGTTGTTAACCTAGACTTTACGAGTATGTTTGGCATTCCCAAAGCCGAAAATTGGATAAAATCTCCCCCAGTTCAGTCTCATTTATCGATCTATTTTCAGAGAATCGTTCCATGTCGATTTGTGCTGCTTGTCAGCTCGGTAAGTAGGCCTTTATCAGTACTGTTGCAGGATCTCTTAATGTTTCCAAATGAATAATGTCCTGTTTAGAAATCGTCGACCGTTTTATCCTACGAGTCCATCCCAACCTGGAATTTCACGCTTCATGCCTCAAGGTAAGTAGCGATCATTCATCTGGAAATTCGCCCCCCGTCACCCGTTTCAGCCGTCCCTAACGGGCAAAGGGCGGCCAGTCGACAAGATCAAATTTCAGCTGAGAATCAAATTCTCTTCGATTTCACCTGTAACACCTGGTGGGTGGGCTAGATGGGATTCAGCTGACCCCACTCCACTCCAGGATATGCCAGAAAATGCGCGATGCGGTAAAATCCAAGCTATGCGTGACGTCATTGGATATTCATGCCACCTGTGGTGCGCCCTAACCCCTAAACTGACCAATTGATGAATGAATAATGGCGTTTTCATAGGCGAACTGAGCCGTGTAGGTGCAAAGCTGAAAAGTGCGACTTCCACCAGAATTTTTACCGATTTCAGTGCGCTGAATGCTGCCGATTGTTGGACGAGTCCTGCACGGCGTTCGTACGGAATGGGGTCACTTACTGTAGGGACGACTATTACAGGTAACTATCTAACTCGCAGTAACCTCTAACCTCCTTATTTCGTTCTGTCCTCTTTCCTCGTGAATTGCTACGACCGTATTTTTGAGAGAATTTCGGAATGTTCAAGTGCGGTTGATGCTCATTTCTGTAGAACGGAACCGAAGGATATTTTCTGCTAAAGTTCTGATTCTTGTGGTGGTCGAACTGTTCATCGGAATGTGGAGCTATACTATTCCTGATGGAAAATTCCTTAAACTCTTTGAAAATTCAAAAAATAAAAAATATAGCTAAGGAATAGAAGGAGTGTGACAAAACCTTATTGAGAAGTTTCGAGTCTTTCGAGCTGCTTCTTTTGAACTTTGTTGGTTTTTTATAACGATTCATCTTCGACAACGATACCTTGCCAGTTTTATGACCAGAGTCAACGAACTCTCGATCAGGGGCTTTCCTTAGGGAGGTGTGCTCCAGAAGAATCCTATCGATTGCTTCTCTCCTAATGAACTCGGCCTTTTACAATGTAGCGCAATCTTTTCTGAACTCTACTAAACTTTCTCCTTTCCTCAGCAGTTCTGCTCAATCTCATTTTTTCAACACCTCTTGGAAGCATCAGCTTCTTCCCTTAATTACTCTAGCCTTTACCACTTAAAGGTCCCTGATCAAGGTTACTAAACTTCCTGATTCATCCCTTTCCTTATACTTCCTTAAAGTTTTCTAAAAATTATTTATTCACGTCTGGTGCACACGGGTGTACTCTGATAAATATAAATAGCAAAAAAACTTCTTTCTTAGCTCGCTACTTTAAACTCTGCTACTTGAAGATCGCATAAGGCCAGCTGCACGGTAGCCAAATTCCGCGCAGTTCGACTTGATGTGAAGCATTTTGCTTGTTCCCATCAATCACTACCGATGCCTCCCTTGCGGACCTGTTCCTGTCAAGCTATGCAGCGCAGGGTTACAGGAGCCTCGTGTACACTTGACAAAAGTCTAGTTGAACAGTAATTTCAACAGGACTTACAAATAAGCACGAGCAAAAGTTGCAAAGTCCTACCATACGGAACCATGACCAATGTTGTTTCTAATGACGAGTACAATTCACAGGACCTGCCTCAATGATTATTTACTGTTCTCACAAACGAGTTTGGGAAAATGTACGGGTATGCTTCGAAACTGATTCCTTTACTATAAGGAGCAAACGACTGCGGAAATCAGTTCACCGTTGGATCCCCAGCCAAGGGGAATGGGTCATCTTTGGGCCTCGGGGCTGGTGAAAATTAGGTTAGCGGAGTGTTTAAGAGACGATGATGTCTTCAATTTCCTCCCGCCCATGCGAGGTCTCACTGATCTATATGTGCAGCAAATTCAGCGCTCAAGATACCTACAAGAGATACGTCAGTGGCCCCTTAAGCAGCAAAAAAGTGATAAAAGTTCTATTTTTGCGTCCACGAAGAAGGGTTCACTCCATCGAGGAACACACATCCTGATGTTTTCCAGCAATAGCCCAGGCAATTCGAAGTTCGGCTATCCCCCAAAAGCAAAAGGGCTGCTTGATCAGGACAAGGACGGCTATTTACGTAAAGAAGCTTCTTTCCGTCAATGTTAGTCCACTGTCCCGGCGCGTCAATTTTCGTCTTTTGCAAAAGCGCAATTTTGCAACGGTCGCGAAAGTCGCCCCGACTGCTCGTGTCGATCAACAAGACACAGATATGTGAAGCAATGGATGCTAGTTAAAGTTTGTGGGACCACTTGTCAACTTTTGTGTGGAACACCTGCCCACTCTTGTAATGCAATGGGCAGGACACTGGCAAGTAGCGAAGGTGCAAAATACTCCCCCCAAGCCAATCTGTGAATCAGATTCCGCTGAAAACTGCTACCTTTTCATTCTATGCATTTCTTGATAATCCAAGTTTTTGTGCCTTCTTTTATTTACCCAACAATTCCAATCTTATGATTGCTCTATTTTTTTTGCTGAAATTGGACTCATTTCCAATTTTCTCCTATTTTTTTCCTCACTCATACCCATGGAATGTTACATTGGCTATTGTTGACCTTTGCAAGCGTGTATCTTCTTCTTCTTTGGTCGCTTACGACTGCCGAACAACACGTATGAAGAGGGAAGTGTCCGAGTCGAGAGGGCCCTTCTCCTTTTACCTATTCATTGTCCGACCCTATTCATGAGCCGCCTTACGTACACATCAGCCGTTAGGGTAGCCGGAAGCTGAGCGCCGTCTGTCCACCTGATTCGTCTGATTGATTGAACCCTGGGCAAAACTTTGTGAGGAAATCCTACTCCTAGAGATCTGGGCTAAAACTGCCAATGACCTCATAACAGGATTACGGTAATCATTTATTTGCAGAGATGTATCTAGCAGTAACCCTTAACAAGTGTACTAATGCCAATAGCGTGTTTGCACCTAAACAGGCATAAATGGTGCGAATTTCTCATGTTCTTCTTGGGGTCTTTGTCGTGCCGCGAGGATAGCGGCACGCGTCTCTAGCCATCATTTGGTCTTCCCTAACACCTTCCTGACTCATATCCATCGGTAATACTTTCCACTCGCTAATCGTGTTGTTACTCACTAAACGACATAACCCCAGGAAATCCATGAAAAATGAGAAAATTGCCTCTACCTGGGGTTATGACTGGGTAAGGAGCATAGTGGTTAACTTTCCCAGAGTCTTACTCTGTACAGGAGCTTTTTGAGACTTCCTTGTCCCTGTGAGCCTCAAGATTCTGAATAAATTACTCATCTCTGAATCGAACTACTTAATAACAAACAACCTTCACTGCTCGTGCTCAACTATGCAGTTTTCCCCAGTCCTCTATGGGCTGATGACATTTTTCCTCTCATCGATTCTTCTTCCCTTTAGCCCCTAGATTACGAGATTATCCTATTAGCGGCCAAACTGACTAGTCATCTGAGAAAACTTAGCCTTCTCTTGGAGAAGACTTTCCTTGTTGTCATATGTGCCAAGTATTCATGTAGCGGAAGTAATGCGCTAATAAGATGCCCCACAATTCGGCTCTTTTTGACCCCACGGAAAATGACGTCACCTTCGGGTTACCGTATTCGACCAGCTTTCACAGGCACCGCCATGTGGGACCGGAACCGGTCAAAAACAGGTCATGCATAGGAGTGTTGCACAACTAATGAGACAGTGTTTCCAGGCTTTTCGGCACCAAATGCAGCCGTTGCGATCTGCCGTTTGACCGAAGTGAGCTGGTGATGAGAGCTCGACATGCCGTCTATCACGTCGCATGTTTCTCCTGTGTGGCTTGTGAACGCCAACTGAAAACCGGTGATGAATTTCAGGTGGGTATTAAGTGTGACTCATCAAAATATTTAAAATATAAATATTTACACGGTAGGATATAAAGTTTTCTCCGAAGAAAAAGACAATATTTCAAAATTCCGCCACGTAGATCGAACTGCCTCCGGATGATATTTTGCTAATTCTCTGACATTAGTGACGTCATTTCTATGAAAGAACGGATTATAGAAGACAAAAAGATGTCTAAGCATCCGAAAAAGGTCCTGGAGCGTCATTCAGCCTTTTGCCTGATCACAGGAAAACAATATGGGAACTAATGTCAACTACAAAACAATAGTAACGTTTCCGGTGTTCCTCCATCACTTCTGATTCGCGCCATGCTTTCTATTTCGAGTCAGAATCGCAGGGACTCTTGGACTGGAACATGGTGTATAACAATAACGTAGGAAAATTTGAAAGTTTATGATATCATTCCCATTGGGAAGTTTGGTGCCAGTTCGGCTCCGGAGGCATAGAAGGCTTCAAACTGTAGTGGTTTGAATAGCGCAGTCCACATAACCCAGAAGGTCTACAGGTCCATTTTGAAAGACTTCAAGCTCAGTGAGCTGAAGCCAGGAGGAGCACAAACAGAGAAATTTGTTTGTAATGCTCCAGAGGACTAATCACCTCTGAATTTCACAATGAAAACACAGTTACCGATAGTTCGGGCGATATTCGTCTTAGGAGGAGCATTTTGCCCTTTCGCTAGTCCCTGTTGCTACTTCAATTTGACTGACCGGTAAACTCTTGTGAAGTGCGAAATGGTAGAAATGAGCCGCCTTGGTTACAGGAGTTAACAAGGTGGCTTGTACAGGCTTTGATGGGTACCAATTGGTGCCCCCCAAGCCGAACTGCCTCCATTTACCGTTGAACCCGTCTCCTTTACTTTTAGGAACATATGCCAGATTACTATTGAGTTCTAACTCTGCGGCTAGTTTTTGCTAGAAGATTTTGTCCCCGCGAGTAGTCTGACTTTGACCCGCTGACCAGGAGTATGGTGGGATGAATTCAGTGCGGAAACGTGCTGAATGCCCGGACTCGGAGTCTTTGCTGCTAATTATCCTACTGTTATACCTCCGAACCTTGCTCTGCAAGCACAAGCACAGTAACAAATCTCGGGCGGAGTCGGGCCCAAACGTCAAAATATGGGGCAACAAGTGGTGAACAGCGCCAAATTTCAGTGAACAGCACCTTGCGGGACCTGTTTCCAGAGATCTGAGGTCCTTTGAGACAGGAATAGATCCGGCCCATGGAAAACGTCATTTCCGTCTTAGAGATACTCCTGCTAGATTTCCTTGTTGCTTTTGTTCTTCCTCATCTACTGCACAGCTTACACTGCAAAGCCCTTAGCTTTTGAAAGATGCTTAGAAAGGCTTTAGTCAAAACAAATGTCATCCAAAAAGCAGCGCCAAATATCATTCCGCGCAGAGTTCACCAGCTATCTCATCTGAGACCAGAAATCAAACTACTGAACACATCTTCTTGCAGAAGAAAAGCGTTCGTTGGGCAAAGTTCGGTTTAGGGGGGAGGAGGGAAGGGAGAGGGGGGTGGGGGTGGTGGGCAGAAAGGTGGGAAGGGGTGGGCTCTTAGTTTACTGGTCTCTCTTACTAGTAGCTCTTATCTTACATGTCTCAACTTGGCGAGATCAGTGGACCCTTTCAGGTGTAAACGGTTCTAGTGGCATGTTTTACAACAGAGCTTCGCAAGAGTCCACAGCTCCCAGTACGCCTCGGCAGTAATCGGAAAATCGACTAGCAAAATGCCCCTCCAAGCCGAAGTGCGCCCTGTCGTCAATAAGAACCTGCCAATCACACGAGCTAGATAACTATGATAACCCCGTTACTCACGGGAGCTAGGCACGTATAATTCCTCAAAGTGGAAGCTTCCATGTTAACAAATACCAAATAACTAAAGCTCAATAAAATTCCCAAATATCTAAGGGCCGAAGAAAGGCTAAGTTCGGCTTTGAGGGGGCACCCAGGCGCTACCCAACTATACTTGTACGTTCGCCGGCTTGTGATGACCTGAGAATTCTGTGATTAGGGAAGCTTACTCGTAGCACTTCATCTTAAACCGAGTTTACACGTCCAAAGCAAGTTCTCTCAGTCAACGTGGATTAGCAAAAGCAACCAGCGAAATGCCCCCTCCAAGCGGAAAAGCGCCGAAAAAAACATTGTAAAAGAGAACTTCGCCTACTGTATTGTAAGCTATTTCAGATCAAAGGGAATTCGCTGTATTGTAGAGCTGATTGCGAAGCCGGAAATGTACCTGAGGTGAGTCTTCCTTCAGTCCTTCTTTAGGGCTTGTCCACAATCCGCACAATTCCAGCCGTCCTCAATCCCGACCCCATCGATGTTCGCCAATGATGACTCATGGGAAACGTCCACGATGACGTCCTTGGATCATACGAGCAGCCCTCCACTTTCCGTACGGTAAGTCTTGGTCCTGGCCCCCTTGTCCTGGCTTCGGGCTCTCCATCGATCTCTTTCGTTATAGCTCACCGAAATCCGACGACATGAGCACTCCGCAGAACAACGGCTTTCCATAACACCAGCGGTTCATCAGCGGGTTCGTCGGGGAAGAAGAAGAAGGACAAGCAGGTCGGTGGACCCTGCACTATCTCTTTTAGAGCTATTAAAAAACTTTTCTGATTTTCAGACGACAAGGGTCCGAACAGTCCTGAACGAACACCAACTATCAATCCTGAAGAAATGCTACGCCCTCAACTCCCGGCCCGACGCCTTACTCAAGGAACAACTCGTAGAGATGACCGGTATGGGAGCTTTTCTCATTCCAAAGCTGGACCACCTGGGTAATTTCTATTTTTAGCGCTAAACGCCAGAGTAATCCGAGTTTGGTTTCAAAATAAGCGTTGTAAGGACAAGAAACGGCAGATTCAGATGCGTGACATGGCCGTGAACGCCGAGAAGGTGAGTCAACGTCACTTTTTCCCCACTAATCCTCTTGTCGACTTACGTCATCTGATGGGCCACCGTTATTATTATTATCCCGTTGATCCGTTTATTTAGCAATGACCGCAATTGCACACACACACAACCACTTGTGTAAACCATTTGCAATTACACTATTTGCACCAGCTCTTCACTAGTACTTTAGTACTTAGGACTACCTTAATCCCCAGTTCCACTTGAGGAGTAAGGCCTAGGAATCTGGGCGCAGTTCGGGCGGGCGGGGGGGGGGGGGTCATTTAGCACTTTCGCTGATTCCCACTGTCGAGCCGAGCCATCAAGTTGAGATCTGTGAGATCTTGAAAAGCAATGAATTGATACCTGTCAAGGGTTGTTGGAAATTCTTGTCAACTCCTGTAAAGCAGAGAGAGCGTCAGTAGGAAGCGGCAGAAGTGCAAAATGCCCCCCCCTCTTAAAGCCAAACAAGCGCGGAAATTCCGGTTAGCAAGCCAGGTTCCATTTGGGACAGGCTAGAAGTGCAGGCCATCTGACCCGTCAGCAGCTTGAAGTGATTTTTACCTATGGGACCTGAAGCAGCAGTACATTTTGTCAGCATTTTTTTCCGAACCCTGCGGGCAGGTGATGTGTGCAATGAAGCGACTAGACAAGTATTGTTGCCAGCGCTTAGAGACGCAACGGGCGCCAAAATTCAAAACAAAAACACTCGTTTTTAAACGTGGGAATTCCGAATACACTACTTAGTGAGCGAGGAAAAACAAAAACTTCGCTTGCCAGTATCTCCCCCCCCCCCGAAACTCATCTCAATAGTAGGACCATGAACAAGAAACTCGGCAGAAGGGAAGAGGACATCAGAGCGGATTCCTATGTGTATGCAGAGTCGCTGTAATGTGAGCCCCCCTGCCTTTCGCGCACAGAAATCGGCTTCAGCTACATTTCAGGGTTCCAGTTTTACACTGGGAGTCCCTTTCACGGCCTCGTGAAGAAGAGGGGGGGGGACACCAGGTTAGATCCATTTCTTTTCAGCGATGCTCAGCTTGCCGTGGACGGGCGCCTTTCCTGCCAAAGAGGCTAGAAATCCCTTGTTGAAAACAAGGCGTCGCCGACTATAATCTAATAACACCGTAACTAGTTCTTCCAATGTTGGTGTTGTGTGTTTACGGCCTTCGACGAATACCGTACACGTGTTCCACTCGTCTCTTCGATACCGTACCCCATTAAATTAGTTTTCTGTGTGGTGTGAGCGACTGTGAGCGCGCAAGCGCCGCGCCGTCACACGGACTTGCTCGGAACGACGTTAATGGCGGGGGAGAGGAATCACCAATTACTGGCGCTATGTCTCTGTGATTCAAGCGCTATTTCAATTCAGAGCGCACTTGGCCCAATATCAGCCTAAGGCACGATCTAATTTAGATTTCAGTGTATGAACGAAGAAGAGACACCAGGGAGAATCGATCAAGGCCCTTGAGGCTATTGCCCGGAAAGTGCGGTTTCCTGTGCTAGAAAGGTAGCAATCCTTGGGTAGAAGGGAGCAAGTCTGCCATAGAATGCGCCACTTTTAGTGTTTGGCATAGAAGGCGGAGGCAGAAAGCGAGATTATGCGAGCAATAACGCGCGGATAGGACTTGATTATTAGCAAGCGAGTCTGCGCTGGATCGATTCTGAGATCAGAGGTGTTGTACGAATATTAGCCGACTGGATGAGAATTGGGTGAGCTTCAGCCTTTGGGCCAACCAGTTCGAACAGACGTCTTCATTCACGCTCATCATATTGTCGGCCATTAATCGTCACAATTAGCCTCTGTACGACCGCCTCTGATCTGTCGTCAATTTAGCGACGAAAAAACCAATACGCTGAGCATCAGCAACAGTTTTTTCGACGGGGTGGCAAGATGGTGGCACCACCTGGCCGCCCAGTTTCCAATTTATGACAGCACCAAATTGTCGCTCATTTTCCCGACCAATCGACCTCATAAATGGCAGACGGAAACGAGAGGGGCGTCCTTCCGGCTCAGAAGCAACTTTGGCACTAATCTAAATCGACGATTATCGAAGGCGCTAATAAATTTGGCAATTGTTCAAAGGATTAAATGTACACAACTGGGAGCAAATTGGTTTGGGGGGTACCGAGCGGAGCCTACAGGCACGTGCGCGATATTCTTGCAAATTCTTGTAGGCAAAGTGGTTCCCCTGTATCATTCCACAGCTTCACAAGAGTGTCTCTGTTACTCAACAGGAGCTAGCTAAAGCAAGGGCTAAAGTGCAAAGTGCCCTCTCCAAAGCCGAAAAGTGGGAATTCCGCAGTGGTGATGATGACTTTGTCCAGGTCTTAAGGGAACGAGCCCCTAGGTTGCTGAACCGATTCAGACGACGGCACTTTTATTTGGATGACTTCTGCACGAAGTGTTCTTTGAAAGCCTCGTCC